TATCTATCTATCTATCTATCTATCTATCTATCTATCTATCTATCTATATAGCTCCTCACAGTGAGTTTTCTTTACCTAACTTCTATCTCTGCCTGAACGTGAGGCTATTTGTTCATACATACATCGTATTGTATAATATTCCAGCTGGGAAATAACACGTTGACTTTCATGTATATTGTATCAGTATGTCATATTGTCCCCAAATATCCATTTTATATTCAACAGCTTACAATCTTTACTGATTTCTCTGGTGTTTATTGGGTCTTTGATGGACTGCGAGCGTGCACCTTGTCTGGTAAATAGATTTACAATCACAAAACACCACTGAGACCAGCAAGACATCACGTTACAATATAAGAGTAATAGAAAATATGTATAAATAGATAAGTTTAGCTCACATGTGATTGCAGACCTCCCAGCACTGAGAGCTATAAAGCGACAGTTGGAAGACGGCATATTTTCTCCAAAGACCTTCATTTGTTTTTGTGTTTATTTGGTTGTATAGATGAGATCAAATATTCAAACAGAGATTAATACATGTGTCTTAGATTAGGCTGGCCCATGGAGGCCCAGCTGATATGAGAAAGGTTTGCTCGGGAGGACGGTAACGTCATTTGTTTGGAGCTCTTATTGCTCCACCGCTGCTTCATTACAGTCATTTGTCTTTCATTATTTATAAAGCTGCAAAACCTAGAAGAGAACAGTTACAGCACTGGACCAATACCATGTGTTGTTCTATTGCATTTTAAAGTTTTCTGTATCACAAAGACGCCTGCTATAACTCTTATAGAAACAGTACATTCAGTACACCTTTTCTCATAAATTAAACATAAATTCATAATGATCTGTGAACCATGAACACACACACCTACACAGCTTCAGATAGATATCAGTAATGTCTTTATTTTCCTTTGTTCTTAATCCACCTGATAGATCGGGGAAAGATTGTACATCATCCTCATTCGCTGATTCCCCCCTCCCCTTTTCACAGAATGGGAAATGAAGAGCTGTGTTTGTCTTGTCTGCCTGTAAAAGTTGCATGTGTCTCCACCCATTTAAATCGCGTCTATCCTCTCAGACCTCTTTTTGACACGCCAAGAAAAACAAAAACCGTCCCCCACATTTCCCCAAACAGCTCGTGTAGCGTGATTCCAGGGCTGTTCGCTAACTGCTCCAGCTCGCCTCATTATTGCTATTATTTTCCTCCTGTGGCTCCCCATTTGCTGATGGGTGGAACCGGAGCACTGCCAAAGCACAGAAATACGACATAATGAGGTAAACCTTTGAAACGAGACCCACTGTTTGGTGTAGATGTAGTTCAGGTTTGCTGATAAGGACCACGGAGTATTAATGATGTGTTTAACTCTGAGCTTGATTTGTCCAGAGTTGTCCCTGAGTTGACCAACAACAGGTGATCCCTCAGCAGGAGCTCCAGTTATCTTTTCTTAACGAAGATATTTTATGGATTGCTTTAAAAATTCACCACGTTATTATAATTTGATTCACTTCGTCTACTGATATAAATGAGAAGTGGCAGATGCTTTGAGTGGCTCACATGCAGATGGAGCCACAGAGGACACTCAGATAATTTCCTCTGCTGCTGTCATCTTATTCTGAAGGAGCCTGAGGAGTAAAATCAAATGTGAATGTTGTTATTTTTATAAATCTTTACCAAAACTCTTAAAAATCTGTTTCATTTTCGACGGTTTCTTTTCAATGGTTTGGTAGGCGGTGATGTGTTTTATATGGCTGAAAGTGGCAGGTTTCCCTTCTTCATCTGAATAAAGCTGGTTAACTATAGTTGTAAAGAAGAAAACCATTGTTTTGAATTCACTTGATACGTGGTATTTTACTTTATGACACTATGTACGTGGGAAGCATTTTGACTGAAAAAGCCTTCAATAACTGAATTAGCCATTCTGGGTGCTCAGACCACTAGCTGACACTTAATGGTGATGCCACATGAAATTACCTTCAAACGTCTGCAGTATTTTCGCTATGAAAGGGAAGGGAAGGGAACTGTTGCAGGCTTCTGCATTATATTTTTATCACGGACATCTTTTCCCTCCCACACTGTGGGGTTACTCCACACCCAGACACATTCTTTCCACATATTATGAGTATAGTTATAGTGGCTCCATTTGGGAGAAAGCACCTCCCTGCTCACTTAGAGGTCACTGCTGGAGACGGATCATGAACACTGACCAAAAATGGCTAATTTTCCTGGTCCAAAAGCAGAAGTAGAACTTGTCTGGGGGAGATTATATTCAAAGATTGATATTTGAGCTATCCAAACTTTTTTTTTTGCTCATTATTAGTCAGAGTTTAATCTCTGTACCGGTTAGCTGAAGTGAAAAATAAGTCAAATTCTTACAACCCTAAAGAAATACAGCAAATTGATCATTTCACAAACAGGAATTATTATCTGCTGCCATCTAGCGGCCATACCGAACAACTGACTTACGCTGACGTCATACAATAATAAGGAAGTGATGCGCCAAACAAAACCGCACGCGTCCAGGTAGATGTGGGATGTGTTTGCATCATTTAAGAATCAAGTTTAACAACAAAGTCAGTAAATTAAAGCCGCTTTTGTTGGGCTGGCTGTGTTTTGTCCAGTGTTGTATCTTTTTTTGTGGTTTGATTATCAATGGAGAGGTACTCTCACCTGAGGGTCATCGGGGAGGGCTCTTTCGGTCGAGCTGTGTTGGTCCAGAGTAAAATAACTCAGGAAAAACTCGTGATCAAGCAAATCCAGCTGCCAAAGGTAGGTGCAAGCACAGGTAAATGAAGCAGCCCACACGTGTTCTTATTTCCTGCCACAACCCGTTCTGGGGAATTGGAAATACGCCCAGTGTGGCACATATTTCCGGGAGGCCAATAATAATGCGGACAAAATATTGATATAAACAAACAGATGTTGTTTTCAGCCTGGCATAATGAGAAACTATCGCTGTCTGGACGACATTTGAATACAGAGATTGCATAGAGAAATATTACCTGCCCCCTCTGATAACCTACCACCAGATTGCTGTCCACACTGATCCCTGCAGACTGTTTGTTTTGCATAGATGTGACTGCATTAATGCCTGGATTTGCATTTTTATAGATTCAGTCCAAATTGGACAACTCTCTGAGAGAAGCCGTCTTGTTGTCCAAAATGAAGCATCCTCATATCGTGGCCTTCCGGGAGGCTTTTGAAGGTAACTGAACGCTCGGTGCTCCTTTTAAATATACAAGAATGATGTTTTGGGGGAATCCGGTTTTAATTATTTGGGTTCCAGCGAAGGAAATGTGATTGTGTGTGTTCAGTGGATGACCTCCTTTGCATTGTGATGGAACACTGCGGAGGGGGGGATCTGCTCCAGAGGATTCAGCTGCAGAAAAACACTCAGTTCGGGATTGAAAATGTAGGCTTGGATTATCTGTACATTTTTCATCTGCTTTTTTATCCTTTTTTTTAACTGTTTCTTTTTCTTTTGCAAGATTTTAAAGTGGTTTGCCCAAATGTGTGCTGGGACCCAGTATATCCACGATAAGAAGGTTTTACACAGAGATATGAAGTCCAAGGTATAATTTATGTGTTGTTTATTAATAGTAATGCATCTGTCTTTGCTTGTAGAAGAGACTACTTTCATTGATATTTTATCAGTTTTATTAATTTAATCATCAAGAGAAACAGTCACCAACAGCTAATGTTGCTCATTCCTCTTCTTAAACCGCCTCTACTTTATCATATTCCTTCTTAGAATATTTTCCTGACACAAGATGGTCAGATCAAACTTGGGGACTTTGGCTCTGCCTGCATTTTGAACAGGTACAGCGAGTGTGTGTGTGGGGGGGGGGGGATGCTCGGTGCTTTATTTTCCTCTGCTGGGTGTAATTTAATCCTAAATGTGTCACAGCTCTACGGCGTATGCTCATGCCTATGTGGGAACGCCGTACTATGTGGCTCCAGAAATCTGGGAAAACAAACCCTACAACAATAAGAGGTACGTTTCAAAAGATGTGGGATTTCTCATTTATTTTAGACGCAGGCTTGTGGGGCTGTAGATGGTTTTGAAGCATGTTTTGGGGAAAGCATTAAAGAAAAAAGCGACTCCACAGAGACATGAAGACTAAAGTCTGAGTCTGGGTCGCAGCCTTTTCACATGTCGCATGTAGTTCTATTAAAACATAATGAGTTGTGTGGTAAATCATTAGATTTTCTTCTTATTGGTAGATATTTTGGAGTATAGTTGTGTGATCGCATCATTTTGAAAACTGCCGCCTGCCTGATTGGACGAGGCAACAGTCAGTTAAACTGCAGAAATCCTCAGTTTTTGGTGTCTGACTTTGTTTTTAGTTCCATAACCGTGTGAGTCCATGACGAAAGAAACAATAAGCCCTTCTGTGTGTGTGTGTGTGTGTGTGTGTGTGTGTGTTTTGCAGTGATGTGTGGTCGCTGGGCTGTGTCCTCTATGAGCTCTGCACCCTGAGACACCCGGTACTCCCCGTCCCTCCACCTTTTCTGGGTTTGACTCTGGGCCTCGCGGTGTACTGTATTTCTTTTGTTCCAGTTTGGTTTGTAGTCTCAGGGATTCTCACGCCTCTTTCCCGTGTCCAGTTCCAGGCGCCCAGCTGGAAGAGCCTGATTCTGAAGGTGTGTCGGGGCGCGTACCCTCCGCTTCCCGGCCGCCTCCCCTACGAGCTGCAGCACTTAGTCCGGCAGATGTTTAAGACCAACCCCAAGGACAGACCCTCCGTGCACACGATCCTGAGCTCTCACCGGGCCTCCAGGCTCCTGCGCAAACATTTGCCCTCACAGGTAGGGTTGGCACGATACTAAAATTTTCAACTCGATACCGATACTCAGGAAAATACTCGATACCATTTTCGATACCACAAGGATAAAAACAAAGACCCCCAAATTGAACTGAATTGTGTCTTTCATTTCAAACTGACCTGTTACTGATGTTATCGTGACTGGTGGCCCACATTAATGACCCTAACCCTAACCCTAACCCTAACCCTCCAGCTTTCATAAATGTGATAAATAAATATTTTTGGGTTAAACTTGTTTGGACTTATTGTACAAACCTATTTAACATCCACTATTTTAACATAATATTATGTATAGAATTCGATTCAGTGTTTGCAAGATTCATTTCACTATTTTTAAATTAATGTCTATATTGCCATGAAGCAATTAGGATCTTCTTGCCTGGGATCTTCCTATTGGTGACTTAATCAAAATGGCTGACTTGGATGTGGGCGGAGTTGGGATATGTACTTGATTAAGGGTAGCATGTTATTATTAGCCATTAACCGCTGCTAGCAAGGCTAACGTCTTGTTAATGGTCATAAACAACGTAAATAAATACATAAATAAATCAGAGAGAAGGGGGGTGTGGTATCGATACTTTTGAAAATGAGTATCGTATTCGGATACAACATCAGGAGATTTCTTTAAAGCTTCCCATGCATCTGAAAAGTGTGTTTAGATTCTTGCATATCTTCTTCAGCTGTGGTTACCCGATGTGGAATCTGACTTTTGGTAAGAGGCTGTTAGTTCTGATGCCATCTGAGCTTTTATCATGTGTTTGATTCTCTGAACTAGCTTTGAGTTCTTCACAGGATATAGACAACCAGAAAGAGGGGAGGCGTGCATGCCGGTGGGACAGAGAACAAGGAGAGAAAGTGGCTACTTTTCTGGGAGAGAAGAGTTTGATTCACACGTCGACATTTGAAGGTAGAGCCTATGTGGTTCTCTGTAGTAACAGCTCATCATAAAGGGGTTATTTGTAGAAAGTGTGATGTGCTACTGGGTGGGAAAACACATGTGTAATGTGACTATCGCACTCCAAATTAGTCACTGAGGGAAGGACGTAGGGCTCTGTACGACTCGCTGACTCTAATGATGAAACCTGACTCCAATATTGGTTGAAGGGTGTTTATTTTTCTTCTTCTTGCATAATACACGTTGACAAGATTGTATATTGAATATAAAGATACTTTGGCTATTGATTTGTTACTTTGCGGTTACTTTGCGGTCAACAGAAAATATCGGCCCCTATGTCAACCCTCTCTGTCACAAACAAAAGACAAACTCCATGGGCAGACACAGGTGATAATTATCAGGCCGTCATCCAAACCCAGCCACACCCACATACACACACACACAGACACATATTCAAACACACTCACTCCCTTTTGTGACCAGTGCTCAACACATCCATGCCTCTATAACATGCAATCTCTTTTTTTGAAGCCAATGCTGTGCCTGAAGGCACCGCTGGACCCCCAGAGTCCTGCCCTCGAAAGCAGTGGCTGAAGGAGCCCCCGGAGGCTGTGCTCCAGGCATTAGCCGGTGCCAGTCTGCTGTCGTTCCCCAGCCAGACGCTGGCCGGCCCCTCCCCAGGTACCGGGCAGCAGAAGGGAATCGTTCATTTCCTGAGACGGACAACTGAAACGTCAGAGAATAGAGACAACATCGCTGGAATGTTTCCCCCTTGTTTTTCCAGGTGTGTCAGAAACGTCAGAAGACAGCAAGCAGAGGAGAAAATGGGAGAGGGCCCCCCCCGAGAGGCTGCTGGGTTTCCTGGAGAAGGCCCAGCTCAACAGAGCCTTCAGTACCTTTCTGATCAGTAGAGGAGGTTTGTAGATGTGTGACAGGCTGGGGTCATGTAGGAGCCGCCCAGCAGGTTAAAGGATGCTTTCAGAATCAGAAATACTTTAATAATCCCAGAGGGAATTTTTGTTACTAACTCCAGAAATAAAACAACAGCATATATATATATATATATATATATATATATGAAGCTTTCTTAACCCTTTAAAGCCTGATCCAAGAATAAAACTAAACAGAAAATTATTATTATTATTTTTTGGTTTCAATTCCTTATTTGGCCTTTTAACAAAATATGTAAAATGAAAAAACTGAAATATATTTTTTAATATTAATCATTTATTACTATGCGATAAGTCAAGATTATTTTTTGTGTAGTCTTCTGCCCCCTGTTATCAGGTGTATCTGATTGTGTACAATAGGATTTTGAGCAAAGTTTTTACCACTAAATTATGCAAAAGGTGTCAGCCACAAAAAAATCAGAAACCGTATATATCAAATATGATACATTTGGCATTACTGGGTTAATGGGGGCATTGCAGTGTTGTATCTGATGGAAAAAGGCTCTGTGTGATGCTTTATTTTTGGTTTCAGACGTCGACCCTCTGGTGGGACCCCTCTCTCAGGCCCAGGGCGACGACCCTGATGGTCCTGATCCAGAAGTGGAGGCGGATGAGTCCAGACTGCTGCCCCGCTCTGATGACGAGGACACGTAAGACTGACCACTACCTTATGATTTATGTGGGAGTCAGCGGGATGCATCAGCAGAACAAAAAGAAAAAGACATCCTGCCTGGTGGTTTTGGTTTTTATTCTTCATATAAGTTCAGAAGTCCCAGTGGTATTTCTGCTGTCTGTTTTTTACATTTTTAACAAAACAGACTGTGCATGCTGGGCTCATTAAAACTGCAACATGTCCAATTCATATAGCATTCATTTTTAATAACAAACATGGATTAGACCGTCTTCCTTCCTTCTTTAGATTCTTCAAGTTGTGCCCAGAATCGATTATGTCATTGCAAAACATCCCAATACTCTATTTTAAAAAAATATCGATTGAATGAAATGTCTAGTTACGCTTACTTGAGGGTTTTAATGCTTAGGTGATTCCAAAAACATTCCCGTACCAGCCCATGTTTTTATTTTCTCAGTTATCTGAGGACACAAATGGACACTGTGGTGGTTTCTGATCTTATCTAAACTTCTCCAGACCCCGTTGGTCTGAGCCCTCTGTTCTAGGCTGGTCAGAGCTCATGCCTAATACTAATACTGCTGTAATACGTAATGTAGTACGTAATGCGTAATACTGATGTACCAGGACCGCTCTGGCTAAAAGCCTTGTTACTGAGAATGCAAAACTGAGATTCTGCATTTTAAACCCACATTAATGGCTATAAAATTATTTTTTGGGTAGACAGACAGAATAACAAAAGCCGTGTCGCTGTCCAAATAGCTCTGAGGCTGGCTGTGTGTCAGCACCTGCTAAAATAAACACGATTCACATTGAGTATTAATGCATTCACGGAGTACTGCTGGATGTATGGAATGTGCTGGCTTTGTATTATTAAAGAACCACTCCAAGTTATGAAAACATTTCTGAAATATATTGTATTGTGTGTCCTTTCCTCCCAGGGACTTTGAGGAAGAATCTCTATGTGACTGGATGGATGAAGTTGAGAAAATGTTTCTAAAACAATAACGCTTCTTTCCTTCCACACTTGCTGAAAACACCCCTTTTTGTACAGTTTAAGTTTTTATTGACACTGACTGTTAATAGCTTCAAGAAAGTCATTAAAATCTTGATGTGAATTTTGTGTAACTTGTGGGCACGAGTTCTTTTTTTCGATATTTGAGGTGGATGTGCGTTCTGTTTCTCACTCGACTGGAACATCTGCTGTGCGCTGTTTGGACCAGAGGTGATAACGTTCCCGGTGGGCTGAAGGCCGTCTGGAAGCTGCCGTTCACTTATTTGGGGAAGCAGGAAATATTAGCCTGAAAGAAGCGGGGTCTCCCTCAGGGTCATGTCATCCCCGAGCTGCCTGAGCTCCGTTTCCTCGACGATATCAAAACTAGACTAAACAGTTTAAGCTGCTGCAATTGTTTGGATTTGATCCTCTTGACTAGAGACTAACAAACCATACATCCGGCCCCTTTGACCATTTTGGTTATTTCTTTTTATTTTTTGTGTCAGGGTTGCAGAAAGTGCACAGATTTGAGAAAGATTTAGTTCTTTCCCGTGCATAAGAGGCTAACTAAGGGCCACCAGATGGCATCCAAACAACTGATGAAAGTGGAAAAGGGAAAGTAATCATTGATCTCTGACAAAAATCCCTCTAATAATAGATAACGGCTACGTGTAAACATAAGCCCTCTTGGTGTTGATTTAGGGCTTTCTTGTGTGACGGTCTACACACAGAAGCAGTCTTTCTAAGTGTGTTTAGTCAAAGCAAACAATAGCAGAACCAGAGCCTCGCCCGTGGCTTCTTGGCCTCAGCAGGATGTAGAAGTTACAGTCAACAGAACCAAAAGGCTGCTGATTCACCAACAGTTACAGATGGATCCCACCGCCCCTAAAGGGCCTGAAGAGGCCGCAGCCTCCCATTGGCTGACAGGAGCCGGGAAAGTCTATCGGCCTGGACGGGTTTCTTGAGGAAGCTCAGCTCTTATCTTAGAGTTACATTGAATCCCCATCCAGGGCTCACTGTTCAGCCCCTCGGCTGCTTAAAAAAAAAAAATTACATTTAGTTTCCCCTCGTGCCCCCCGAAGACGTTCATGTTCAGGGAAGATACAGATAAATTGGGGCTGCGCGGCTTAGTTACAATGTCATGAAGCTCTGTGTCCTACAGATAGGAGGGTCTTCCATCCCATCAATGGTCAGGCTCTATTAAAACATGTAGTTACAACACAGTAAATACAAACACAGGCATTTGGCCTTCAAATAGAGTAAGAAATATTATCAGTCTCTGTTCCTGAATGCACAAAAGGTGTATTTAAACAAAAAAAAACACAACCAATTTGAGTGCAATGCATCTCTTGATCATAAGCTTTGTTAATTGGGACATTTTCTTCAATCCAAAGTCTTAAATTGGCATTTTTCCCTTTAATTCTTGACAGGTTTAGATGTGTTTTTGTTTCCCAAAGTACTGTAAGTTGTAAAAAGACCAATAGTTACAGAGAAACTTAGGAATTTAAAGACAAGCCTTTGCCAACAATATGAGTAGTTATCTTTAGATGTTTTAGGATTAGCTCTTTTGCCACCAGTTTGGACGGCTGAGACAAACGTTAAAGACCTGACAATAATCCAGATTGAAAGTTCATGAAGTTGTTCATGAAATTCGGAGCAAAACAGGCAGATGAACACCGGCTTCCTCTTGCAGGAAGGATGTGAAGCTCAGCCTGTTGCGTATCAAAGGCCATAAAGGAGGTGTCTGAATGATCTCCATTTCTTGAGTGTGGCTGAACAGGAAATGCAGCTTTAAGTGCATCGTGCCTGATGATTGGACTGAAATGTGCAGCAAAGTTAGCACCTCACGTCTCTTAACCAGCGCAGTGGTTAAGAGAAGCGAATGTTTTTTTTTAAAGTGTGACATCGGTGCTGTGCGGTTGTGAGTGTAAACACCTGATGTGAGAGTCTTGATTCGAAATGACACACACTATTCGATTAAAAAAGCATTTCCCTTTCTCTCTCACTATTACAAGCAAGCTTTACTTTACTGCGTGTACAACAAATCTGGAGAGATTCATTCATTTCTTTTCCTGTTCACCCTGCTGACCTGATAGCAAACAGTCAACTAACATCCCCTCTTTTCAAATAATGCAAAGGGACAAAAGACCTTTGGTTGAGTCTATCTGAGAGCCGGTCCACACACCTCGACCCTCTGTCGTCCCCTCTGATGACATATTGACCACTTGCTATCTGTGGAGCTCTCCATTCCTCCTTTGTCCGCCTGTTTTTGCGTTAGCGTGTCCTCATTTTCACTCAGGAAAACCTCTGCAGATGCACGCTGACCCAGTGATCTCTGTCTGGCTACCGATGCTTAAAAAGCCTTTTTCTATCCAAATCTGACGTCCCCTCTGGATAGTTTTGGTTTATCTGTGCCTTAGATGTGACTTTACATTTCTTTTATTGTTGTATTTGCATTTCTAGTGGCAGCCAAAGAAGAGAAGTTGTGGATACTGTTGGCGGGAGGCAGATTTTCCTGTTAATAACAAAGCACTAAAGCGCTGCAGTGGGGAGTCTCTTTGCAACTATAAATATGAAGGTTGTCATTGTTGTGATTATTTCTGGCGTTCTACAGTGACCCTCTATTGTCTGCTGCCAGGGTTTTGCTGCTCTGAATCACACAATAGAGGCTGGCGTGGCCCAATAGGGCTTTGTTGTGCAACAATTTATCATCTGCTCCATGTAAAAAGATCAAGAGCAGATGATTTGGATCCTGGTGGATGCCACAAACTGGGGCTGTATCGGCTCTGGGGAGGCTGCCCGACCTCTCTCTGTTTTAAATGCTGCTATTGTCTGGGACAAACACGAGGCCTCCACCTTTAGCTAAGGTCACATGCTCTGACGGCCCGTCTCTTTGCCATCCTTCCTTTGAGCCAATAATAGATCCACAGCAGATGAGACCCTCGACAGAGACACTTCCTCTTGGAGCTGAATGTAGGTCGCTGGGTCGGACTGCTTTACCGGCACTTTGGGATGATTAAGGCTGTAGCCTTTTGTTTGCTCCCTCTTTTGTGGTACCTAAGTACTGTACTTAAGTACCAAAATGCGGTATATGTACTTTATTGGAGTAGATATTTTTTCCCTACTTTTACTTTTACTCCGCCACGTATTTTTGAGCAATTTAATACTTTTACTTTTACTTTCACGGGCTGATTCGTTACTCATTACTGATATGTAAACGTAATGAATCATTCGTATCAGTCGTAGAGTCAGAGCCAGAGCTGTAGATAGCTCTGTCAGGGTTTGGGAAGCTGGCTTCTCATTGGCCGATTTGAGCGATAAAGCATAGCCTATAAAAAAAATGCCTCCCGAAAGATTACGAGATTGTCTGTGACCTACTGGGGTATTTCCCAGTAGCTGGTGAAGACCCAAACCTGGTCAGGTGATCTGGAGGCCGTGGTTATTCTGTTGGTGGAAGAGCTTGATGCATCATATTGAAGCTTCTGGGCTGTTCCATCTTAAGGTTTTACCACCAGGCTTAACTCGCCCCTCTGGCCTTTTGAGATGCTTTATTTGGGTTTTTTTTCCTGTTTTTTGTAAACCCCTGTATGGCCTTTCACACGTATGAAATAATATAAACAATATCTATCAAACATTCGACTGCCTTTTTTAAAAATATACACAGTACTTGTACTCTTACTCATACTTGTACTTTCAATACTTGAGTAGCAATTTTTTAAATACTTCTACTTGTAATACTTAAGTACAAAAAAATTGTGATTACTTCCGTACTTCCTCTTAAGTAAGTTGTTCTACACTTCTACTTTTACTCAAGTAATTTTTTTAATATGAGACTTGTACTTCTATTCTACTCCAGTACTTTATACATCTCTGGTTTGTGGGATGTAGCTGAATCGTGGCGTTGTGCCGTTTAGCTGGCGATTAAACCTTGTAAAGCAAATAGAAATTCATTTCAATGATTTGGAAAGCAAAACCACAGATGTGCAGATGCACATTTAGCCAAAACGGGCTTCGTAGCCACACCTTCACACCTCTAGTATCACGGTGGTTAACATCCTGCCAACGACCATAAACACACACCGGCTCTGCAAAGCTGATTCACGTTCATGCAGCCCACGATAATCATGTTTTAAGCCATTTCTCTGTTCTAATTTAGATTTAAAAGTGAAAAATGAGTGTGAGCACTTGTTCCTTTTTCACAGATGAACGTGTTGGGTCTAAAACTGAATCCTCGCCTTTGCTGTTTAACTGAAATGTCTCAACATCTTCTTCTTTTTTGTGTTTTGCAAGACACACTTATTTTCCTGCCTGATATGTTAAAGAGCACATTTCACATACGGTGAAAAACGCACCCACAGAAAGAGCAAGTAAAGTCCTACAGGCTCTTTGAAAATCATAACTATGAATTTAACCTGTTTCTTTCTTTCAAAACTACCATTTTAATATAATTCAGACATTTTTCTCCTGAATAACTTTTTTTTTATAGCTGTTAGTTTATTTGAAGTTTAAGTGCAATTTTCTTGAGGTGAATTTATCATTGCGTTTTCTGAGTTGTTTTATGTGACAAAAGTAAGATTTAGGGTGAAATGTAACTAGTCAAAAGCAGTTTGAGGGACCATTTCCAGGACTGAGCCAGTGAGCAGAGCAAAGATAAGATATTGTCTCTCTTCCTCTTAAGTGGCGTGCTGATTTCATAATCGACAAATGCTGGGGGGGGTTGTCTTGTGTCTGGTGTGTGGGAGTTGCTGACATTAGACTTCAAAATAAAAAGATATGAACCTGCGTGCCAAATATCTATAATGGCATCTAAATCTTAACGTCTGTAGGACGGTTAAGCATTGGTAGCAGGTTTTTAGCTGCATGTTGGTTGGTGTTTTAGGAGTTTTTTCTGCTTTTTGGGTGAGTTTTTGCTGAGCCCTACTGTGTGTTCTGGTCCATTTATTTGTGACACAAGCTTCTCGTGTTTGCTTTGAATATATTCTACAGTTAAATCCCAGAACCAGGAAGACACTAA